TTTGGTTGTTAACCGAAAGAAAATAGTATTGTGAATGTTTGTGATAATTGAGTACACTCTCAAATCTTAATCCCTAAACTCTTGTATAGTCGTACGAGTGGGGAACTCGAAAGGGACAAAAAGAAGGAATAGAGCAGTATACCTTGGTTTTTCAGAGACCTGGAGCTCTCCTACATGCTATAGTCAATTCCGAAATTTCCAATAATCAAGTGTGCATGTTTTATACAATAACTAACTACCTACTTGGAATTGTTATGTTGTTTATTTATTCCCCTACTGGCTGTGCTTGTTTGGGTTGGGAGCAAGATAATTTAAAATGATTTGATGTTTCTCTTTTTGTTCTTGTCCTTTCTCAAACAAGGTGTGGCTTTTGTCATTGATGGCCGTGCTCTTGAGATTGTGCTTAAGCACTACCACAAAGCTTTTACTGAGCTAGCAATATTGTCAAGGACTGGTATATGTTGTCGTGTGACACCATCACATAAAGCACAGGTATATTATAAATGTTTATCTGCGTTCATTTATTCAACTTGTTTCAATATGTAATCCTTTTTAGTTATTCTTTCTCCCCTTTTCACACTCCTGGTATGATGGCTGGGGCAACAATTAAGGGGAAGAAATGATGGATATTTTACAGGTTATATCTTCCTCTAAGTAACTAGGTTAGAAATGAAAAGTAGATTTTGATAGTGGAGATTCATAATTGATATATATATGATTTGACTGTTTTCTGCTGTTAGCATTAATTAATAATTGAAATTACCTATTTATTATTATGTTTTGTACCATTTACGTTCATTGCATCCTTATTGCAAGTTAAAAGATAGCATTTGTTAGTTATTAAGAATCATTGTTACTAATCAAACTCATTATTATGGACTAAAAGTGTCTGTGTTTCTGTTATCTCATATCTCCACCTTCTCGAATACAAAATACCGCCTATGTGTTGCCTCTGATTCAACTCATCAGAAAAGTTGTGCTGGTTTGATCTGGCACTATTTGTCACAGGTTTGCAGATCGTAAAAAGTGAGACTATAGAACATTTGCAATTGGTGTTGTGGGAAGGATGTACTGATGATACAACAAGCCGTATATGCATTGACATTAGTATACAAGAAGGACTGTGGGGTAGCTGATTTATAGTATTGGAAGTAAGCATTTTTATAATTTTTGCGGGTGCAATCATGACGTGTACATTGTGTATACAGGTTCTTGTATACATTTTTTCTTCTTTTTCCTAGATGAATCTTGAGAGATAACAGTAAGTCTTAGAGTTGTGGTTGAACTTAACTCGACCTTACAGGACTGGTTTGTATGGTGAGGAGCAATCCGCAGGATTGCCCCCACCTATAAACATGTTTTCAGGTCATATCACATCTGAGGTGAGACTCTTAACACACACCCTTACGCCCAATTCTATTGAGTTTGGTGCGTGGGCCTCCGATAGACTAATACCTCTTAGAATTTGAGTTGGGTCTAACTCAACCTTACAAAGCCGGCTTGTAAGGTGATGATTGTCTCCACTTATAAATATATTTTTCATACCATATCTCATCAGATGTTGAACTCTTAACAATAAGATTGCTACCTTTTGAGTCACCTGCATGCATCTGCATGGTTCAAGTTATGTAGCAATTCATCATCTGAAACTTGTCAATAAATTTTCCATTTTATTCCCAGCAAATCTTGATTTGACCAGCAGTGTTCTGAAGCTTAATCTTTTTATGGTGATTGTAAATTATAGGAGGCAAATATGTTTGCATTCTATTATTTGCAGATGACCGTGACATTTCATCTTCTATATGAATTTTGCTCATCTTAATTTGGCAGACTTTAGGTTCTTGGGAATTCAATTATTGTCCATGGCCAGGTATTCTTACAACTGCACATAATTTCTTTCTTGGTACTCATTCTATAAGTCCCTACTCACACGTTTCATCCAAATCTTCTAAGTTTCTGCCAACTATTTTTTAAGTACTTTGCATATTTTTTATGTTAGATAGAAAGTTTCTTGCTTTATTCACCCCTCTAAGATAAATAGCTCCTCTTGATGAGGGTGGGCCAAGGCACAAGGTAGCCTTATGATAGGGTGGTCACTGATTCTTACTTGCAGAAACATACTTTTTCTTTTTTCTTTTGGGGGGATAGGTGGGGGAGTAAGAGTAAGACTACGTACATATCCCACCCTTCTCACTGCCAATGAATAGCGCTCATGTTATACAACACCGAACTCCTGTCATATCCTCTCTTATCTTGCAGCCCAAGATTTCACATTCTGCTGAAATCTTGTCTCATAATTTCCCATCTAATCCCATATATACATACTGATATCTCTTTTTCCTTTTCCCCAATAGTTTTCGTTTCTTTGAATAAAATAATATATAATCTGGTATACATATTAAAGGTGTTGTCTAAGGTGGACATAGTCTACACTACATTGATCATTGCATATGTCAATTTCACTTTGTTCTTCACTTTTTCTTTTTTCCTGAAATTAGTATACATTGTATCGGCTATATTTTGACAGAAACTATAATTTCCATACAGCTCACAGTTGCAGCCAGCATGGGTCCAATTCTTGCCATAAGTACTTCTGTTTACACATCAAGCATGCTGAACGACTGGAGATGCCAATTTTGTCTTTCGGTACCATCAAGCCCAAGCTTAACAATAAATACTATCATAAAAACTTAAACTAACTCTCTCTCAAAAGACAAATTTGTAAAAAAATAGTACTATCAATTACTAAGAAATTTACTACTCCTACCACTTTAACTTTCTTAATATCAATTATCAAGAAATTTAATACTAGTACCACTTTAACTTTTTAAATTAAAATAAACTTTTTACCAAATATTTTAATGGTTCAAAATTATTTTTTTTTCTGGAAATTTTGTCTACTTTTCTGAAACTTATCTAATCAATAAAAATTTGAATTTTTTTCTGAGGTAATTTAAGATAATAAAATATGAATGTGTAAACTCTTGATAAGTTCAAGCAATTAGCAGACATTTCAGACTAGTTTGTCATTTTTTGTGTGAACAGGTTGTCAATCTAATGGTTTGCTCTAGGCATTTTGTATAGTTTGTATATGTATTCATAATTGTTACTATGTGTCAGAATATCTCATACATTGTATTTTAATACAATTTGCTTATAAAATAACAACTAACTAACCTGATGAACTTACTAAAAATCATTTAATAATCGTACCATGTACGAATTCCATGTTAAAGTGTAGTACTACTCTCCACTTAAAAGTCGGGTTATGCTACTATTATAGTATTGAAGAGTAATATACTTAAGGTCTTTAAAAATAAGTAATTAATGTTCTGTATTGTTGATAGCAACGCTATTAAATCCAAGAAAACGACATCTAAATCCGCATGGTAGTTCTTATTTATAGGGATGTGAACACACTATAAACACAAATTTAATTACCTTTTGAAAAGTATGGAAGCAATATAGTAGTAATATATTATTAAGCGAACATCCCTTGTCAGAACTCAACCATAAAATGAACAAAAACTTTAGCATTAGTTGAAAATGAAATGCAGAAAAGTTCAAAAGCATGGAGAATGTATATGGTAGCATTCTGCATTGAGAAATGTATATACATGCATCGATATATTGGCCTATATGACAGAGGTATAATATACCCATTCCCAAATGTCGGTAGTTTCATTCACTTGAGAGAAAAATCAGTAACAAAACAAGAGTAAGGTATGGGCTGGTTGTCCCACAAAAGGTGATGTTTTAATTGATTTTTCTACAAACGAATTTTGAAATTATGACACAAAAGTAAAAGTAAAGATAGAGATAGAGGGGACCTGAAAAAACCCCCAAAATAGGTCAATTTTAGCATGGGTTGCTCCCCATTCCCACACCATTATGTGTGAGTTTATGGCCATCAGTACCACCTAGCTATAACACAATAGCATAGTAGCGTAGTACCTCACCAACCCAGCAAATTAACCCCACAAAAAGACTTATTCTATAAGTGTCTATTATATTAAGATCGATCTCAAATCTGCGCCACTAGTTCGCAATCGATCTCAAATCTGTGGCACTGAAAGACCTCAAATTGTTCCTTCACCACCTTAGCTGTCTAATTTTTAAAATAAATTTGCCTCCTAGGAAACAAATATTTACCTATCAAATGATGTTACGTTATCCTACTTTTGAACCATAAGATTTTAATGTCCACTTTCTTTTAATCACGCTTATGTAATAATACCCCCTACCCGTTTTCGATGTAAATCCAATTAATAGGTACTCATTGGTGAATATTGAAACAAGTATATATTTGGTACCCACTCCACTTTCGATCTAACTACGCATTACTTCATCTATTGGAACAATTTTGTCACGCGAGCATGCTTAACCTACTCTAACAACGTTTCTGTATTGAGTTAAAGAAATTTGTCAAAACCTATTTCACACCAATAGGCTCGACCCAACATTATTAATTATGTGTACAACAAACTTTTTTAAATAAACCTAGTATTATTGAAAAATTGAGCTTCCATATATAACTTTGCATGCTTGCCATGTGTGAAAATATGGCTTGGACTAGCACAGAATCACAAAATCTGAGTCACACGTAAGAAGATAAAGCTAATTAAACCACCCCAAAATATATCCAATAAAATTAAATTCTTTATTAACAAAACTCCTTAATTAGTTATTTCCTTTTTCTCACAATATATTTATCCATAAAACAAGATATGCATAAAATATAGTAATTTATTAATGGAAATAGTACAAATTACACCATATATAATTTTCACAAAACGTACAAATTCAGAAAGTAATAAACTGAAAAATTACAAGATCGAATCGAATTACAATTAAAAATAGACATAGCAAACCAATTAAGGATCATATAACTCACATGATCACATTACTATATCTACACTTAATTTACTTAATCAAATCACCATCAATTCACCATCATCATATCCACAACAGCATCATCATCATCATCATCATATCATCATCTACCTGAGCAACTCATTCACCCACCCAAAATCTGGGTTGGCACTGACATCATCATCAACAACGTTAATCCTTTGTTCTTCCCTCAAAAACTTGCCACTACCACTTGAACTATAGTATTTTCCAGCAGGAGAATCATCACCACCAAAATTGAAACTTTCCATGGATCGAATAAGCTCGTTAAGAACATGCACATCTTTGGGATTTGAATTGGACAAAGGTGACAAAGGTGGTGAATTTGAAGAAGAAAAATAAGGTCCACTCAACAAAGTAGAAGTGGGCGATGAAGAAGAAGAATTAGAACAGCAATGACAAAAAGAACAACAGTTTTTAACGTTGTTCTGAGGAGGTGGTGAAGGAGGGGGTGGCAAAAGCAAAACCCTGAGTTGACGGGGTGTATGAGCAAAAAAGCAAATTTTCCGCTTACAATTCTTACCATCTTTACAAGCTTCAGTTCTGTATCTCGAAGGGTGCAACCAGCATTCGAAAACTCCGTGAGAGAATTCACACGCGTCGCCGCGTTCGCAGTTTCCGCGGCGGTAATCAGGACACACCTCACCGGAGTATTGAAACCGGAGAGGGTCGCGACGGCGAGCTTTTTCGCCGGGATGAGCGAAGGGACAGTCGGTCCAGTCGTGGCTGCGGCTACGTGTGCAGCGTCGGATTTTGAACTCGTACATGCGGAAGTGGTCGGAGGAATAAGGATCTTCCTCGGAAAACATGTCGGTGGTGGTGTTGGTGGATTGTCGGCGGGTGAGGAGCTTTCTTGGTGGGATGTTGTCGGTAATGTTGTCTCTCATAGAGAGAGATTTTTTGAGATTGAGAAGAAGCTTTTGTTGCTCTTCACAAAGTACACTACTCATTTTTTTTCTGAATAATAATAATAATAAAATTAGGTGGAAGAAAAGAAAATGAATATATAGAGAGGTTATGAAGAGGGAAGTGAGAGTGTGTGTATATATAGGGTTATTTCAGGTTATTTAGATGAGAGAGAAAGTAGAGAGATGGGTATAATATGGATATAGGTATGCGTGGATGCATAGCATTTGGTGTGAGCATGCAAAAGGGGTTATGTGGCAGTTTTACAATTCCTTGCTGTCATTTCTTTTGCCTATGTGTGCTGCAAACATGTTTCTTCATATTAATTTAATATTTGTGTATATATTGAAGCCAAGTTCTACATGCATCATAATAAAAAACTATATGTTTACGGTCCGAATATGGAAAGTATGTGTTTACGGTCGGAATATGGATCCGCTGTTTCAAATTAAATCAATTTATAAATTATTTAAATTTATTTACGAATATATTCAATCTAATCCACAATAATCAGTATAATTTTAATTTTAATATTGATTTAAATTTTGTAATTTGTATCAGTTGATCCAAAATTTTAGTAATTTTTTTATTATTTTATTATTATTTTAAATATAAATATAAAATTAATATCTCATTAATATTTATAATTTTTTAATTTTTAATTTTATTTTTCACTAATAATATTATAAAATTAATTGTCATTTCTTATTTTTTTAATATTATTTTCAACTTATATATTTTATGAAAATGATGTGTTTTGATGAATTTGATAGTATTATTGAGTGTTATATCGTGTTGATGAATTTTATTAGATATTATATGATGTATTTTATCGAATTTAAGTGTTATAAATGAGTATTATTATATTGAGTTGTACTTCCTCTATTTTAAAATGACTGTTGTTTAAAATTTTTGCACAGATTATAAAGTATAATGATATTGTCATAAAACATTGCACTTTTATTAAATTAGTTTTATTAATGTATTAGAAATAGTATACTGATAAATAATTATATGACACAATTGAAAAAAATACTAATTATTAATATATTAAAAATTAACAGTGACATTTATTTTAAAACAAAAGTTTTCTCCTAATACATTCATTTTAAATTGAAGAAAGTATTCAATTTTATTAAATGACAAAAAAAAATCATAAAAAATATATTTTTTATTCAAAATACAATCCACAGACCTAACTCAATCCATATATAAGCAGGTGGATTCAAATCAATTTTAAATGTGAAATTGCGAATTAGATAACAAAGTTAACTCATTTAAATTTAAATGGATTAGGTCAAAATCGATCCAACTTAATCTGTACACACCAATCTAAACTTTCATTATTTATATTATTATTTAATTAATTTATTTAACTGGTAAATATTTGAGTCTCTTGATAAAATACCATATAGTCAATTTATAATTTTTTGAATGAAATTATTTGGGTTGAGATGAAAATTTTCACTTTATTTATTTAACAATTTTTTTCAACAAAAACTAGTAATTATTGAAAAATAGTAATACCTTAAAAATTATTAACTTATAAATATTAAATTTATAAAATAGTTGTTAATTTCTGTTTTATACAGAATTTTAATTTTTTTATAACAAATACTTTTATAATTAAAATATATATAATAAATGATAAAAATAGGAAACTAAATTTATAAATTTAAAAAATACCATATACAATATATTCAATGAATTGACTAAAAAGTATAGAAACTTATATATTATTATTGTATATAAATACATTCAATTTAATGTTAAGTTTTTACATTTTCATCCAAATTAGTAGTATTAATGAGAAAGGAGTAATTTTTAAATAATAAATATTTTTATAAATTTATTATTCTAATTTTATAGCTCATGATTTTTCTTATGTAATAAAAAATATATATATAAGACACTTTATAAATTTACTAAAACTATATATTTAGTGTATATAATCAACACATGCGAGATTCAAGATACATTTTTCTAATCTCTATTTTTTTTTTTACTTTACTCATCTTGAATTTTGTAACTCATTTGCACTAACTCCCATCGACTGAGACGAATAATGACAAGTTTAATAATTACATTAGTTTCCTTTGATTGGGACTAGTAACAACCAAGCTTAATAGTTACTTCAACTCTCATTAATCAAAATGAAAGACATTAAAGTTTACGACTACGTCGAGTCTTAATAAAGGGATGAGTGACAAGTTAACTCCAAAGATCTTGTCGATTCCCGCTCAAGAAGGGACTATAGAGAACGATACAAACGGTGTAAGCTCCCACTTAATGGATAAATCAAATTTGATTACACCAAAGAAAAAAACCACAAGTTCATTTGAATCTAAGAGACCGAGTTAAAAATAACATATATAGTACAACAACAAGACTAAAAAGGATATTAATACGACAAGCCTAAAGAAAACGCTTATCACGAAAGGTAAATAAATATTGTTATTCATACATATAATAGGAAAACACAAGGGCACAACACCCTATCAAAACCAAACATAAAATAAAGTCAATCCTCTCCATCTTAGGGTGTTGCGTTGTCATCCTCCACCAAGGCGCTGTCCCATATGACTTTGTGTGGGTCAAGTTGCGAACGGGGAACAGGAATATTCGGACAAAGCATTTCCACCTAGCTGGCAACTTGGTAGAAGGCTCCGTACATTGTTTTAGGAGTTTTCTTAAGGGTTTTGTTAACATCCTAATTCAATACAGGCATCATTCCCTCATAGGCTTTGCGATCCTTAGCACGAGATTCCTTCTCCTGTTGAAGAGCTCCCACAACCTCGTCAATACAAGATTTCATCTTCGCGACAGTTGTAGTGGCCTCCTTTAGAGACTTTTTATTCGTTTACAGAGAGGATTCAAGCTCAATTATCTTGGCAGCGAGAAAGGAAAAAGATCCATGACCGTTCGCCTCCTCTTGAAGAGACTCCGTCTACCTCACTTTCTCGTGAAAAGCAAACACTTTTTGTTTAAGATATGATTTCTGTAACGCCCCGTTTTATTTAATATTATATTAATATTTTCGAGTTACCGTTTGACGTTTATTTTGCGACGAGAATATTTATACTAACCGATATATCTGTTAATATATTTGGCGACGTATTATTCGGACCGGTAATTATTTTATTCGGTCCGATAATTATTTTGAGGGACCGATAATTATTTTATTCGGTCCGGTATTTGTTTTGAGGGACCGGTAATTATTTTATTCGGTCCGGTATTTGTTTTGAGAGACCGGTAATTATTTTGTTCGGTCCGGTTTTCATTCCGTTCGGTTCGGTAAAATATTATTCGGACTGATACTTAATTATTTGGAGTTATTTTAATTATTTAGGTTAATAATATTATTTAGTGTTATGAGTAGTATATTTTAAGAGGGGCTAGTTGGTAATTTGAATTAAGTCTTCCTACTAAACAAAACCAAATACACCTTGTTTTATGTCATAACTCACAAAACACACTTAGAGGCATTAGAGAGAGCTAGAGGGTCTTGGAGAAGAGAAGAAGAACAAGAACACAGAGCTTGGGTTTTTGGTTGGTTGAATCATCAAGAATCATTTCAAGTATATAAGGTAAGGGGTTTGATTTTCCAATGCTTATAGTTAGAGTTTGATTTGGTATATTTTGATTTGGGATAAAATTGATTTTTAGGGTTTATGAGTTGTGTTGAGTGAATTTGATAGAGGTTAGAGGAATTGATTTAGGTGTTATTGTTGTTGTTAGATTGTTATTGAATTAATTAAGAAGAATTAAATTAGAAAAGAAAAACTAATTATATTAAACTTATAAAAATAAATATATATATATATATATATATATATATATATATATATATATATATATATATATATATATATATATATATATATATATATATATATATATATATATATATATATATATATATATATATATATATATATATATATATATATATATATATATATATATATATATATATATATATATATATATATATATATATATATATATATATATATATATATATATATATATATATATATATATATATATATATATATATATATATATATATATATATATATATATATATATATCAGTAGTAAAACTTATGCAGAAACATAGTTTCTGCTAAGTTCTATTTCTATTATTTATTATATTAAATAATTATATTAATTAAATATAAATATGACATAAGTTAGCCAATTTAATTTGGAATCCGATTATGTTCTGATTTTTCGATTTCGGCAATTTCGGCGACGGAGCTAGTTACTCCGAATTGGACGAAAATTGACGTGCTAGCTAACTTTGACGTGTAGAACGTCATGGTGAGTTTGGTTTTTAGAGATTACGAGTTTTTAACGGAGTGACCAGAAATAGGCCAATTTACGGTTAATTCTAAACGGGTTGCGTTTTAGTCGGTTTAAGTCGCGTATGGACAATCCGATTGCGACATTGATAATTATGATTAATGCCGATTATTATGAATGACTTTTGCGACGATTATTGATGTTTGATTATTTTTCCATGTTTGGAATGAAGTGAATTATTTGGTAATGATGTGGTGTGATTAAACATGATGTTTGCGACGGTTTATTTATAATGAATACTTGATGATATGCGATGCGATGATATGTTATCTTGGTGTGGATAAGTATGGCGACGTGGGCTTTATGCCAATCTTGATGCGCGATGATGATGTTTTTGTGATGTCGTGTTGTCAAGTCACATACTTTGCATTGGCGACGAGGGCTTTTATGCCAAAGCGACGATGGGCTTTATGCCAAATTTCTCTAATTATGGACAAAGCGACGGGTACCACATGCATAACATAGTCGTGTCTCATGGAGTCAGTTATGTTTATTTTTGAGTCTTTTGGCATTGAGTTTTATTTGATGACTTATGATGAATTGTGATGTTGTATGATACTTTGTTTTGTGATCATTTTTATGTTAAACATAAAGTGATTATGATGTGATAAATTTATGAGGATTATGCGATGAATATAACATGACGGTAAAGCGACGATATGAATTTATGGCGATGG